TCTCTCTCTCTCTCTCTCCCTCCCTCCCTCCCTCCCTCTCTCTCTTTCTTGATAAGGTCTCGCTAGTTTGGTAAGTAGATCAGGATGGCCTTGAACTCAGAGAACTATTCATCTCTGCCTTCTGGAGTGCTGGGAAAGGGTTGTACCATCATACCACTGTCCCAGGGCTTCTTGTTTAATTAGTTCATTTTTATTTTATGTGTATGAGTGTTTTGTCTGCATGTATGTAAATATGTGTGTGTGTGATACTCTCTGATGCAAGAAGAGGGTGCCTAGTAACTTGGAATTGGAGTTAAGGATGGTTTTATGTCAGCTGTTATGTGAATGTTGGGATCCAAACCTAGTCTCTTTGTGATAGTATACAGTGCTGTTAACTTTAGAGCTACTTCTCCAGTCCTCACCTTGAACTCTTGATCTTCCTGTTTCTTCTCAAGCCCTGGGATTAGTGTCATCTGGCCTAAAGAGCTTAGAAAAGAAAGCTTTTACCTCTCAAGTTTATAAAATGCTTTATCATTTCATGCAGCTGGTAGTGGCTTTCTTAAGTTATTTGTTATTTTGAAAAAAATTCACTTTCTATATTCTAAGTCTTAAGCCACTTTGTGCTATCTAGATTTGAAAATTTCTTCAGAGAATTTACGTTTTTTAAGATTTAAAAAAAGTTGACTAGCCAGGTGGTGGTGGCGCACGCCTTTAATCCCAGCACTTGGGACCTTTAATCCCAGCACTTGGGAGTCAGAGGCAGGTGGATTTCTGAGTTCGAGGCCAGCCTGGTCTACAGAGTGAGTTCCAGGACAGCCAGGGCTACACAGAGAAACCCTGTCTCGAAAAAAAAAAAAAATTAAAAAAAAAAAGTTGACTAAGGGCAGGAGAGATGGCTCAGGGGTTAAGACCACTGACTGTTCATCCAGACGTCCTGCGTTCAATTCCCAGCAACCACATGGTGGTTCACAACCATCTGTAATAGGATCCAGTGCCCTTTTGTGGTGTGTCTGAAGACAGCGACAGTGTATTCACGTATATGTTTATGCCAATAAATAAATCTTCATGGAAAAAAGTTGACTCTTTTGTTGCAAATTAGTAGTCACTGCTAATTTGTCTAATTTGAAGTTTAGGAGCAAGTGATGGTGGTAATGGATGTAGGATAATGCCTTGAAATAGGTTTTCATTTTTTTTTCCCTGAAGCTGGTAGGAGGACAGTTTGATTTGGAGATGAACTTCATTATCCAAGAAGGTGAGAGTATCACGTGCATGGTGGAGTTACTGGAAAAGTGTGACATTACTTGCCAAGCAGAAGTCTGGAGCATGTTTACAGCCATTCTGAAGAAGAGCATACGAAACCTTCAAGTCTGCACAGAAGTAGGCCTTGTGGAAAAAGTACTTGGGAAAATTGAGAAAGTTGACAGTATGATTGCAGGTATAACTTTTTCTGTAGAAATATATGTAAGGAAATAGTTTAATTCTTAAAAATTGTCTCTTTAAAATTTCTTTTAGCAATTTAAAAATTACATGATTGTATAGCATGTTATCTATTTAAAATATTATTTATTATTTTAAATGTATGTGTGTGTGCGTGTGTGTGTGTGTGTGTAGGAATGTATGGGCCTGTAATGCCTATAGAAGGCAGAGGTCTCAGATAATTCTTGGAGCTGGAGTTTAACTCAGGTCCTCTGGAGAAGCTGTATGTGCTCAGCCCCTGAGCCCTCTTCTCAGCCCCATGGCATGTATCTATACCTCTTGAGTCCAGACTTGCAAGTAAGTCATGTATTTTAATTCTTTATCTCTAGAAATATTAATAGCTCACATATTTCATTTTGTTTGTTTTTTCTCAGATCTTCTCGTTGACATGTTGGGAGTGCTGGCCAGCTATAATTTGACAGTTAGAGAACTGAAGCTTTTCTTCAGTAAACTTCAAGGAGACAAAGGACAATGGGTAAAGAGAACAAGTGAAAATTGAACACCCTAAGCCCTAAATGTTCTAGTAGCACCGTCATAGCTTATAATATTATTACATGTGGTACATGTCAAATTGAGAGGAAACCATCAGTCAAAATAGCATTTTTGTGTGCATGGTCACTTTTGTTTGGGTGTCCTAGGTAGATAACTAATTTGATCTTTGTTCAATTGGTATATTAAAACTGTATATATTATTTATTTGAGTTGAAAGTGTGTTAAAGTAGCATCCAATTTTCTTCTGTTCTTAGTGATAATGGCCCTTTGATTTGAACAGCATATTCAGGGAGCAGGGTCTTTGCAGGTTAGAGCCATCCTCTTTAGGTATAATTAATTTGATGGGCTTTTGTACCGAGTGGTAGGGACCTTGCTTTGGATCCCATTTGCCTTGCCATAAACAATTTTACTGATTTTTTCAAACAGGGATACTAGTAAATGTTTGTTTCATTTTTCTAGCCAGTAGTGACTTTAAAAGATCATCGTCTTTAGTTCAGCCAGCTGCCTTATAACTTTTAGGTCTATTAAATTTAATCTGTATTTGTGCCCTACAATTTGTCATGTTAAAATTTATATCTGCTTGTATATTGCAAAATCCAGGTCTCTGGTGCTTTTCAAATATTTTATATTGATGATAACTGAACCTAATTAATGGTCCTGTGTAGAAAATCATGTGTTTACATTATTAGTTTTTCTCTTTTGCAGTTTTGTAATTTCCATCAAATTTTGAGAAAAATTTGTCTTTATTTCTAACAGTAGTACTTCCTTTATTTTGCCTTCATCTGGGTCACCAAACTTTAGGTAACTTTAATTAAACATTCTTATTAAATTAAACATTTTTTTTGAAAAGATTTTTTTCCTCATTGTCTGTATTTGGGGTTGTGTAACTCTGAGCCTTACACAGGTGCATGTTCACTGAGCTACATGGGTACATCAGTAGCACCTAAGTTAGATCGCTTGATACTGTCCTTCAGATCACTGAGATCTGCTCACTTTTTTTCCTTCTTTTTGTCTTTTATTTTTGAACTTTGTTTTATATAGATATTATTGTTTTAGTATGAACTTAACTTTTTTTTGGTGTTCTGTGTATATTTATGTATGTGCATCTGCTTGTGGAGTCCAGAGGACAGCCTAGGTGTTGTTCCTCGGGTGCTGTCTTATTATTTTGTAGAGATCTTTTACTTTCCTGGAACATGCCAAGTGGTCTAGGTTGGCTGGCCAGTGAGCCCTGAGGATCTGTTTTCCACTTTTCCAGGGCTGGGATTATGAGCTCGGACTACCACACCTCATGTGTGTTTGCTCACTCTTCTCCTCTCCCTTCCTCTCCCCCACCCCTCCCCTCTCCCTCCCCCTTACCTGCCCCCCCATCCCCTCTCCCCTGTCTTCTCTCCTGATTCCCTCTTTCCTGTCCCCTCTCTCTTTCTTTTTAAGACAGAGTCCCATTATAGCTGGCCTGAAACTCACTATGTAGACCAGGCTAGTCTCAAACCCAGAGTTATCTGCCTGGTGTGTACCACCATGCCTGGCTATGCACATTGCCTTTAAAATGTAATTCTGGGGTGTGAACCCAGGTCTACATGCCTGTGCTCCAAACGCTTTACTCACTAAGCTGTCTCTCCAGCCTCCCTCCACCTCAAAATTCCTTTCTTTCCTTTCAGTTCTTGACAGTATAATGATGAGAATGATAATCATAGCAGCAAGTGTTCTTATCCGCATGGTTCTGTAATTAGACCAATTTTCAGAACAATATTTTATCCATTGATGTTTCTTCCTGGTTGTAGGTTATTTTTTATGACATAGTTAGGTACAGTGAATTATATGTTGTTGTCATGTTTTTTTGTTAAGATTATTAGGCTGTTTGTAGAGCCGTGTATGAATTTCTTTAGGATAACCTTTATTCTTTAAGACTAGTTTTAAATCTTCCCATTTTGATTTAGAATGGCTTATTAGACTAGGGCTGGTTCTCCTTGTTACTGAAGCCTGGCTCCTTCAAGGTCCCTGCCTAACCCATGGAGCACAAGGTGATTTGTAGTTCTCTATATCTCTATAGGTCTGGATTATTTTTTTGACTTGGAGCTGTCAGTGTCTTGGCCCCACCTTGTTAACTGTAACATTGTTATTGAGCCAGGCTTCTGAAGCTTTTCCTCTGCACAGCTCTTTCATCTGTAGCACTCTGTTCTTTAACTCTTGAGACTACCTACTTGGTCTTTGGATCTCCATGATTCCTTTATGTGCTGTTTGTGTACCACTCTGTGCAGTGATAAGTTGACTTCAGAAAGGTGTTTTAGTGTGTTTTCATTTCTGATGGGGCATAGTCTTAATGTGCCTCTATTTCCATGTCAGAAAATGATTTGTTTTGCATATGCTTGTATAGTTTTATTCTTGTTTATGGTGCTGTTTGTAAGTATTTGTCTTATTTATGTTATATCAGGAAGAGGCAGTATACTGTTTGATTTTGTTTTGATTTATGTTTAAATAACTTATAAAGTATTGCTATAAAAAGTAAAAACAAGGAAATTGTGAAGATTGTGGACATATATATTTATAGACATGGAAGTTTTATATATGCAGAATAATTAATGGGGATATTCATGTAAAAAGAATATTGACATGCTACCTTTTGTCTATAATATTATGGATTCAAAATACTATGATGATGAGCAGAGTTGGATAACTTTGGTTAATAGGCCTTGTGTGTTTGGTTGGACTGAACATCAGTGGAGTCAAAGTGAACAGAAATCTAGTGTCACTCAGACACATAAAATATACTTGTATCCAGTGAATTAATAATATTTTCATAAGTGCCTAGACATATTTCCACAAGGAAATGTACATTAAGATGCCCAGCTGAACGTTGTTTTTAAACACTCTGTTACTTCTTTGAAAACCTTGTAGATGTATACAAGGTATTTTGATCTTATTTACCCCTACTACATCCCTCCAACTCACCTTGGAACCCTGTTTTTGATAGCAGAGAATTGTCAGCAAGTATGTTCATCGTGAAGACAGTGGCCACGTAAAATATACAACATGTTCAGATTATTTTAAACATACTTTCTATTCTTTAACAATTCCATATATGTATGCAATCTATTTTGATCATATTTATCCCCCATTACCCTCTATTATCTAGAGTCAAATATTGTATAGCAGTTAAAAACCAGCGCACAGAACTGAAAAGGGGAGGTAGCTGCAAAGTCCTGCCCCTAACTAAGAAGGTATTTGCAGTTTGTACCTGTTGGGAAAGGGAAAATTGATTTTCTCGAATGGAGTCTCACTGGATACATCAACCACATTCCAGGGCAGGCACCATACTCAAGAGTAGTTGGCTAGCTCAAAATGAGCTCGCTCTCTCTCTCTCTCTCTCTCTCTCTCTCTCTCTCTCTCTCTCCCTCCCTCCCTCCCTCCCTCCCTCCCTCCCTCCCTCCCCCTCCCTCTATCTCCCTCTCCCTCTCCCTCTCTCTCCCTCTCTCTCCCTCTCTCTCCCTCTCCCTCCCTGTCTCTCCCTGTCTCTCCCTGTCTCTCCCTCTCCCTCCCTGTCTCTCCCTCCCTGTCTCTCCCTCTCTCTCCCCCTCTCTCTCCCTCTCCCTCCCTGTCTCTTCCTCTCTCTCCCTCTCTCTCCCCCTCTCTCTCCCTCTCTCTCCCTCTCTCTCTCCCTCTCTCTCCCTCTCTCTCCCCCTCTCTCTCCCTCTCTCTCCCCCTCTCTCCCCCTCTCTCCCCCTCTCTCTCCCTCTCTCTCCCTCTCCCTCCCTCTCCCTCCCTCTTCCTCCCTCTCTCTTTCCCTCCTCCCTCCCTCCCTCTCCCTCTCTCTCCTTCTCTCTCCCTCTCTCTCCCTCTCTCTCTCTGGTGTATTTGTTTCTTTGTTTTGTTTTTTGCCATTTTTGTGTTGCTGTTTTTTTTTCATTGTTGTTTGTTTTGATTCCCATTTTTTCTTTCTATTTTTGTTAATGAGAGAGGGGATTGAGAACACACAAAGCTAGGTTGTTAGTGAGGTGGGAAGGTTCAGGGAGTAGTTGGAGAGGAGAGTTAAGGTCAAAATACATTGTATTGAAGAAAAAAAAGCACTATATAGAAAAGATAAATAAAGGCAAAACCAGGAAGAGAGTAACCAATCAGTCAAATGATATATGTAATATTAAGTCACTTAAATGCTGAGAAAAATACAGTTTTCTTTTTACATTTGTGTGTGTGTATGTGCATGCATATGCACACATAGACCAGTATGACATTTAGATGGTCAGAGGACAACCTGTGGGAATTGGTTCTTTCCTTATATCCTGTGGGTTCCGGGGATTGAACCCTGGTTGTCAGTCTTGACAGCAGGCACCTTTAATCAGGCTGAGCCATTTACAGGCCCATAGAAACATTTTTGACAGACTACATAACAATATTAGACGTGTTACTATAGGTGCTTAATGGTAAGGAGGACAATCAGAATAGGCTTAGACGATAAAGGCAAAGTAGTAAAACACCAGCTCTTTATAGTTGTACATGCCAGCTACTTTCTGCCTTTGACTTTGAAAAATCCCGGAATCTAAGTCTATACACAAATCAATGATTTTTACTTGTGGAGTGAGTGCATTGATGATCATGGTCATTTGTAATATGAAATATGACAAGTTTTTGAAGGATTTCCAGTGTAGCATCCTACAACAGTGTTATTTTTGTTTTGTTGATTCACTGACAGGAAAAGGAATTTGGAGGAATGATTTTTCTAGATAGAAATACTGTCACATTCCAATTGTATTTGCTGTTGCTGTTACTTTTTGTTACTTTATTTTTCTTTGAAATATATTTAAAAGTGAGTGTGATTGTAGTTACTTGTTATTAAGTTTACTTTTATAACTGAGTGGTATGGTTGATTAAAAATTATTTCTTAGATTGAAGTTTTTCATTTACTGCTAGGCTAAAAGGTTTCTAAACTCATACACAGTAATAATAACATAGACTAGTAAACAAAATAAGATGGGAACAAGCCAGTGATTTCAGCCGTGGTTTGACCCTGTTTTCAGCTTGTAATAAAGAAGAATGAATGTCCTATATTTTTACTATATTTCCTTATAGACTGATTAAGATGGTAATGTGTATTTGATTGCCCCTGGCTTTCCTTATAAATATTAATGAGATTTTCATTTTAGATCTTGATTGTTTCATGTACTAGATATTTTTGTGGGTCAAAGAAACATTAAAACAGATATAATATAATATACCCTTTATATATGCTGTGCATTTGAGGCATATTGTAGAATGAAATATGCTAGGGAAATTTAATCAGTTCTCTGAGTTCAGGCAGGACTGCCCCAAGGAAGTGGGCATTAAGATGAAAGGTATGAAGGATTTCCTTGGTTTGCAGGAGAGTGAGGTAGGCTTAGTGAGCACATTTTAAACAAAAGGAATAGCTTGTACTTAGTGTTGTGGAAAGAATTCTGTGAGAAGGCATAGTAGATAGAATGAAGTTGGAGATACAGATCTGATCTTGTAGGCCATCTTAAAGGTGGTCTCTATTAAAGACAGGAGAGTGAGGGCATAGTGTAACTGGTGAAAGTATTATGACTAAAATTACGGTCTTTTGAGTTAGACTGAGTTCTGATCCTGACCCCATCAGTTACTGTATGGCCTGAAGCATGCTCCTCTGCCTTAGAGTCCTCCTCTGAAAGATTAGGAAGATAACGGAGCCACTTCCTAAGTTTGGCATGAAGCTAAAATAACATGACTTTGGCATTGGAATATAAATAAGCAATATTTAGAATTTGTTAAATTAAGATGTATAAAGGAGCGAGTGGCAGTTTGAGGTAGTTTGTAACTTTTAAAGTTCAATTTCGAAGTGTTTGAGGTGTGAATTGTTCATATTTACTGAGCAACAAATGTGTTGTATAGTACTACCAAAAATTTGCAGAATTCATTATGTCATTAAGATAATTTGAAAATAGCATTGTTTGTTCTTGTATATACCTTTTAGTACATAGCATCATTCAGTTATTTTTGTATATGTTAAAGCATGACTGTTATTAAATGTTTTATAGGGAACAGAATGATTAATAAAGCATTGTTTTATAGCCTCCACATGCTGGGAAACTGTTGTCAGTGTTAAAGCACATGCCTCAGAAGTATGGTCCTGACGCCTTCTTCAACTTTCCAGGAAAGAGCGCTGCAGTAAGTACACACGCATGCGGCAGCACTCAGACCTCTCCTTTCCCTGTCAGCGCAAGGTTCTGTGTGAGGCACAAGCTTTTCTGCATGAGCTTACTCAGTCTTTAGAACAGTTTTCCCCCAGCTATTTGAGAGACAGGGAAATAGATGCTTAAAACATTTGGAGAAGCTGCCTACTCAAAGCTTGGTTCAGAAAAGGAATAATAGCCTTCCTTTCATATATTGTTATAGCATCCCCTGAGTTTTTCTTTGTAACTTTAAATAGCTGCCAGTGTGGAACACTTTGACTTTCTATCTTATTGAAAATTTTGCTTTTTTTTTTTTTAACACCTGGTATGTAGAAAGAATGACTCTTTGAGACTTAGCAGGCATATTATCCTGCTTTGTGATAAAGTCTTATAAAAATACATGTATTTTTTTGAGATAGGAACTTTCTATACAGCTTCAGGCTAATATCAAATTCGCAGTAGCTCAGGCTATCCTCAAACAGGAGCTCTTACTGCCTGAGTCTCTTGAATGCTGGGATTCCAGGTGTGTGTCACCACAGCTGGATTGGCAAGCACACTTATCACTGAGCTACATCCTTAGCCCCTTTATCTATTCTGTTCTTACTATTTTATAAATAAGATCATTATGTATGGTAGAGATATTTGTAATATCTCAATTAATTGTTAAATTAGTCTATACTAAATTATTTTTAGAACATCTTTAATCTTTTCTTTTTTTGAACTAGCCTTTCACATATTACTTTGCTAACCATAAAATCATGTTTACTTGTTTGGTTCTATGTAGTTAGATACTATCTGCTAAAAGATAAGAATATACTTTAGAAGGACACTTGTAGTGTCTTAGTTCATGCATATGATTTCAAAATTTTGGAGATAAAGGAAGGAAGGTCAGTAGGTCAAGGTCATCCTCTGGTACATAGGGAATATGTGGCCAGTATGGGTGGTTCCCTGAGGCCCTGTTTCAATCAAATAAAATGAAACAAAGCAAAACTTAATAGTTTAGTGATATTTGGTTTGTTTTTTGGGATTTTCTTACTTTGGTTTGCTTTTGATTTGCTTTGTTACCCAAGCTAGCATCGTTCTTAAGAGTCAACTTAGAGTCTCTTACCTAAGTATCATAAGTGTCTGAATCTGTAGGTATGTGTCATATCACTCAGTTCATTTATGAAATTCAAATACTAAGTATAGCATATATGACTTTCTTTTAAAACTTTCATGGCTTTGTTCCTTTGTAAGTTTTTCTTTTTTTTTCTTTTGGTTTTTCGAGATAGGGTTTCTCTGTATAGTCCTGGCTGTCCTGGAACTCACTCTGTAGACCAGGCTGGCCTCGAACTCAGAAATCCGCCTGCCTCTGCCTCCCAAGTGCTGGGATTAAAGGCGTGCGCCACCACCGCCCGGCGTAAGTTTTTCTTAACCATTTTAGTTTTGAAAGTTTTAGATAACTTTAGTCTCTTGCCATTGGGCTTATTATTTACCTCTGACATGCAAAAGCGTTCTCACAAGGGTAACAGTTTTTTAGTGCATGATATTAAGATTTATTGTTTATAGTTCTTTGAGGTTGAAATTTATCCATTCTGTTACTTGCATTTTTCTTGAAAATAGGACAAGTTCAGCTGGATAGCTTTTAAAGTTCAAGAGATTAATTGTTTAAAATAAATAAGTTAAAATAACTTCAGTAACTCACTCTTTTCTTCAAAGATAGCTTTAAAAGGAAGCTGTAAGTTAACAGGCAAATTACCTTTTATAAAACTCTCATGTCCATTCTCATTTTAGGTAAAAGAAACCTTAGTATACATTAATAGAGTAGGTTTAGTTCAGTGCAGCTTTATATAAAATCTGCTGCTTTTAGTTTTGCAAGTATTATTACATAAGTATATCTCTGTGATGTTTCTCATGTTTTGGCGTATTGAATACATATCAAAGAATATGTGTGTGTATATATATATATATATCATGTGTACACAATGCTTATAAAATATTAATGACAAGGTTTGAAGTATATAGTATGAAATTTTTTAAGAAATTGAGACTATATTCATATATCTTACAGTATATAATTTATAGCATACAATTACCGTATACAATATAAAATATTAAGTTGTGAAACTACCACAGTCCATTTTAGAACATTTTCATCAGTCCCTACACTTAGTACCAATTTACTTTCTGTTTTTCTGACTTTGTCAATTCTGGACCATGAATATACATGATTATCATACAACTTGTGGTCTATAGGGTTGAAATTTTTCTTAGTGTAATATTCTCATTATATTACGGCTTGTATCAGCAGTCTGTTATTTCTTCTTACAGATTTTTATAGTTGTGTGTACCTTTCACATTGAATTGCTCTTTATTTAATGGATATTTTGATTTTATAACTTTTGGATTCTTGAAGACTAATGTAACTCAGGGGTTCTGTGTACAGTTGATTATGTGGATGTACATTTCTATTTCTACTGGGTATAAATCTAGAATTAGGATTTCTGGGTTTTATGATCTCTGATTAGCACTTTGAGGAACTCGTCTCCTCAGCAGTGTTGAGAGGCTCCAGTCTCTTCTCTCGACGATGCTAATTAATGTTGTATGGGGTTCTTTTGTCTGTGTTTGGGATGTTGTCCCCAGTGCTGGGGGGATTTTTTTTTTTTTTTGAGACAAAGTCTTCCTATGTAACTTTTGCTGATTTTGAACTTGCCATGTAGACCAGCCCAGACTTGAACACATAATAAAGATCTGCCTGACTCTGCCTCTCCAGTCTGGCATTTTAATTAGTGAGTGATTAGAATTCATTGTATGCTTTGGATAATATTCCTTTATTAGATACTCATTTTGGCAAATATTCCCTCCCATGTTTGCATCATGTCTTTAAAAATTTAAAAAAGTGTCTTTCAAAGCTTTGATTGAAGCATTTTATTGTAGTCCAATTTATTTATTTATTTATAATACTGTGTTTTGGGTAGTGTAATTGTGAAGGAATTGTCTAACCCGGTGAAGTCCTTATGCAAGTACAGAGTACATTATAATATCTTTTCATGGGTTTTGGATATGGTAGTGTATCTTCCAACCTTGGTTTTAGCCTTTAAAGATTGTGTTGCTATTTAGAAACTCTTCCATCATGTATATACCTGTGATGTATACATTATATATAACTATATGTGTACACAAACACACACACACACACACACACACACACACACACACACACACACACAGTTTGGTTGGTTTTTTTGAGATAGGATCTCACTCTGTGGCCACAAGTTGCCTGTCACTTGCTATATAGACCAGGTTGGCCTTGATATCCCAGAGATCTACCTGCCTTTGCCTTCCAAGCACATGTATAGCATGTACTACCATATCTAACTAATGCTATAGTAAAAAAAAGTTTAAACTAAATGGTAAAGCCACATATATAAAATAGCTTATGCATATCATTTTGAAAAATATGTGAAATAATCCTGTGTAGTTTTATATTTGTAGTTTGCAAAAATATCATACACTAAGCCCTTTCTTTAACCTCTTTCCATCTATCTCTATCACTTTTTTTTGGGCCAAATTTCAGGTTTAATTGCAGTACTATTTCTTTAAATTAGAATCTTTCTGGCTATTTCTGTAGTAAAAAAAATGAAGTAGACATGAGTTTGGTCTCAGAAGCTACACTGAATATTTCATTTAATTAATTAATATTTACTAATTTTTATTTGGGGAAGATTTAATAGTTATTAAAAGTTTTTTTCCAAATAAAGTCTGCTTTGTGATGTTTTTATAGCTTAAAGTAATATGACACAGCAGAGACACGTAGCATTATAAAGTCTCATTTTTATGAGTTCAATAATAAGGTTTTTCATGCAAGTTAGTAACAATGTCTCTTTCCTTTAGGCTATTGCATTACCTCCTATAGCCAGATGGCCTTACCAGAATGGTTTTACATTTCACACCTGGCTTAGAATGGATCCTGTAAATAATATTAATGTTGACAAGGATAAACCATATTTATATTGGTATGTATTTCTAGAATTGATTAGTGTTGACACCTTATTTTGAAAATGAGACTATTTTGAGGTAAAATAAAAACTTACTCTTTATAGTTTCAGAACCAGCAAAGGTCTTGGCTACTCTGCTCATTTTGTTGGAGGCTGTTTGATTATAACCTCAATAAAGTCAAAAGGAAAAGGCTTTCAACATTGTGTGAAATTTGATTTCAAGCCACAAAAGGTATGTGCTCTTCCCAAGTTGGCTCCTTTAAGAAGCTACACAGCCTGCAGAGTACTGTGTTAACCATGTGTGATTTTGAAGCTATTTTTGCTTTTTCAAATTACTTGGTAGCTGTTAACTGCTATGGTTTGGGTCATAAAATGACTTAACATTTAGTTATTTTGTAGTTTTTTTTAAAAAGTGTGTGTGTTTGTGTTGTATGTATGTATGTATGTATGTATGTATGTATGTATGTATGTATGTAT